CAGACATCCATTTCAGCACTGTTAACCACAGCTTCTCCAACTGAACAAAGCCAATTGGTAGCAAGGCAGGACATAGTCACCTGCACCGCTCTGTTGACATGCATTAGTACTCATACTGACTACAAGTTCTCTTCCCATTGCAATTTACTGCCTTAATTGCAAGCCCCAGGTGGGAAGACTATTATTTCCAAACACATCATCTAGTTTTGGTCTCAGCCTTGTTACCAGCTGCTTTGCTTAATAAAGTACTTGACCAGCAAAACTCTTTCTTCAAGCTATATTTCCTCAGGACCACGCCCCAAAACAGCAATAAACTCCCATCTTTTTCACTCCCATGGATGCTACTGATTGAGAGAGCTAGTCCTACCTCTCTCAGGCAGATTTGCTCTCTTCCTTAATTTGATTATGCAGGATCTCTAGGCAGTAGGTGTTCTTGAACAACGATGTCAGGAATGATGCAAATGTGTTTGACCTACTTTAATCACAACATAAAGCTGGAGAGATTTTATATCTCCCTCCTTGCTTGTGACATACAAATAAAATTCTCCACTAACTGTTTGTTTAGGTTGTACAGTGAAATTGAATGGTATTTGGGTATACATACATTCATTTGAAAATCACAGCCATTGTGTCCAGATGGAAATTTCCTGTTTTGTGACTGATGTAACTCATTCTTAGACTCCGAGTTACTTCATCATACAGGTGTGAGAAGGCATGCTGCCATTCACCGTTCTCACTGTTCTCCTCCACATGTTTTAGGAGAATAAAGCAGAGGGGGAGGAAAAAAAAATCCGGATCTGTCTTTAGGACATGAATCCTGTGCCTGGAATGGGAACTTCTGCTGTGATACCAGAAGAAGTCTCCCTGCACTGGAGCAAGGCTGAAGGCTCCCAAGGCACCACCTAGCATCATCCCAAACACCAGATTGATGCTACTTTCTTGTGCGCTGTGTCTGCTTCTGGATCCCTCCCTACATGCAGAGCGCTATCCCAATAGGTGCATATAACAATAGGTGCTAGTGATGTCAGGACTCAGGGGTTTTTTTGGACCTTCCCACTTTTTCTAGTGAGATTTGAGAAGAGTTAACATAGGAAGATTCAGCTGAGATCACCATCAGCAAATGCTCCACAGTGGCAGCTGTGCCTACAATAATACAGAGCAGCCTTAGAGCTGTGCCAGTAAAAGTACATAGAAGATTAGTGACGCACATGAAGTTCATTGAACTGAAAAGGCAATCTCAAGAGGCAAGCATGTCACTGTAGCACACAGTAACTCACAGGAAATAATCTCTGAGATTTGCCTAGGACTCTGCCTGCCTGTCTTAAATGTGTTGACATATGCTTCTGCACTAGTGTTCTTGATCACAGAGCAGAGTGACATGTATAAACAGACATGTACTATCACAAGTACATTCAATCCTGTCTGATTGCATGCATGTGTGATACCTTAGCATGCGTTCAACACCTACAGTGACAAGACTCTGGTGTCTGTGCTACCAGATACTACAGTAATGGTACGGATCTGGCAGTAATTTCCCATCTCTGCAAGATGCACATGCAGCATCTTTTTAGCCAATACGGAAGAAAAGACTTAGAAGCAAAGGTCTTCCTCGCATCTTTTCTATTTTAAACTTGCATCCGCTGCACTGTTATGTCTGAAATTGTGTACCACTCAGTGGGGTATTACAATACAGAGCATCAACATAGAGAATGTGGGGACCTGAGCTGAATGCAACTTTCAGGCCTCAAATTAAGAGTATGAAAAATCCTAAATTATCTGACTTCAACACCTGGTTCTAGTCTAGTAACATTAATGAGATCTAAAGATGGAGTTCCTTCACCAACCACCTAAATTATCAGTTACAGTACATTATACTCTATTAAGGCACAGGTACATTGTACCCTATTGAGGCACAGGACTTGTCACATCTATTCAACAGTGTCTCTTTGGATTAAATCAGTTTGATTAACGCAGCTCACTGTGGTCCCATCAGTCCTACTCAGCTGACACCTGAAGTCTAGACTCCATATATAGGTATTTAAGTACCAGCCCTGGTTCGTCCTGTGACAAGGATCTCTAAACTCATGTCACCTCAGTGACAATTGTAGCTTGGCAGCAGAATCTGGCCTTCTGAGACTGTTTTGCCAATGCTGCTGCTGCTGCAAAAACAGCACCTGCTTGCATGGAAGTGAACCAAGTACAGTATCTTTGTGAGGATTTTCTCCTAGAGATCACCAGTTATGTTCTGATCACTCTAAATCAGCAAAACTGTAAGAAAGCATGAAATGAGTGTAGTGTGGGAATTAAAGTCTGCATTGTGAGTCAGCCAAAGAAAACCTGCAAAGGCTGAGTTACAGCTTTGAAATTTACATCTTTTAGCTGGTTAGCTTGCTTGCAGCATCCTCTGCCATAAGATTTGTCCCATACTGCTGAGCACTTCACATTCCCACCAGAGCACAGAGGAGGGGCTCTGTCCTCAGCTTGCTTTTGCCTTTGTGGGGCTTTTCAAAGCCACGTGGCCAGTGTATGACTGTGATGCCAGGCTGCGCAGAGAAAAGAAACTAAGAGGCCTGAATCTGCTCTGTGCAGCAAATGTGGCAGTTTAGTGACCTCACTTTAAAAAAAAATGACATAAAACCACAGTAATTAGAACACACAGGTTGGCTAGCAAAGGGCATGTTTAACTTCCCTTGGGTGTTCAAGCAGGTGCTTGTGCACTGAGCTGATGGTAATGCTCCTCAGAGAGGCTAGGTTACTCAGGAGGAGAACTCCCTTGCAGGGTCACCTGCACCCTGGCTCTCAGACTCTGTCATGTTCAGAGAAAGGAGCTGCAGAGTGTCTGATCCCTCCCTTCCTACCCTGGAGCAGGGTTTTCAAGTCACGCCACCTGAGGTTATTATGTAGCTGCTGGGAGTCACGAGGTCCTTCCAGCCTCTGAGTGCTCCTTCAAGGATTGCACCTGGCCTGGAAGGGATGTCTGGCTCTGAGAGATTTCATGTGGGATCCAGGGAGGCTGAGAACCACTTTCCTGATTCTCCCTAGGGCCCATGTCCCAAGAATACATCACTAGCTCAAGGCTCTTACGGAAGGAGGCTGCAATAACCTAACATGAATGACATGTCTGTCAGGGCTCCTAGCAGTAGAGTTAAGTTGAAGCAAAAAGTTGTGGAAAGGAGTGGAAAAAATGACCAAACTCTTCATGTTTTGTTTTGGTTTTTACTTAGTCCTTGTCACAACTTTCCTGTCAAACAGCCCTGCAGGAGTTTTTCAGTAGTTGAGAAATAGTTATGAATTCTGTTGAAACAACTCAGCACTCTGTGAGAGTAATGTTAGCTATGATGGACTTGCGGTGACTTCCATGTTCCACGCTGCTACTAATAACATGCTAAGATCATCTTGACTTCTTTTCTTTTCTGCCACAACTGCATAATTCCTGAGGCTATTATTTTCTTTTTTTTCCCCCCTAATTTTCTTTAAAAAGAAAAAAAATATCAAAAAAGCAGAGGTGAAATACAGACCACCTTAATCAGAGGTTAATTTTATTCTGCTTTAGCAGTTGTCTGTAAAAGTGCATACTTGTAAACTGCTGGTAAAAGCACCTACCAAAAAAATCCTCCAAATTATTTATAAAAGCAGTTTGTGTCTTCATATGCTAGTCAGAGAAACTAAGCATCCCCCTTGATGAATCAGTGATTACTCAGTATTTAAAAGGCAGTATTTATGTGATACACAACTGCTCAAAATGGGACTCACACAAAGTGAGTTATATCATAACTAGCTGACATCACCTGCCGGTTAGTCCAGCTCCTGAAGGAGCACAGAAATGTCTTACAACGGTAGTAAGGTTCTTAATTTAGCAAGGTGAGGAAACCCAATACCAACTGCAATACCATTGCTACATTAGGCAGCTGAAATGTAGAGCTGTAGTAATGAAACTTATGGATATTTTGCAGATTCTGATAAACTAATGAGGAATTATCTGTGTAGCATGAATAGTCCAGCGCAACATTGCATATACGTAAGTATCCTATGCCCCCGTGCTTCTGAAATATGCAGAACACTTTCTTGGCTTTAAAATGACAATCCTCCTTTTCTCTATACTGAAATAATGAGTAACATGACATGATCCCTCACACCTGGAATACTCAGTTTTAGAATTTATACTTGCTGCAGGAATGTATGCTTCAGCTGTTAGGGAGAAATAAAAGCCCATTTTGTATAGAATCCTGAACATCTTCCAGGACTGTGGCTATTCCAACCTCCCTTCTCATTTAGATGCATTCCTCCATGTTTTGGAAGAATCCTGCTTTTGTTCATAACATGCAGAAACTTCAGAAGATAGCTTGGTCAGAGGTGACGCTCTAGACTACAGAAGCCCATCATTATTTTTATTAATGTTTCCAACTTATACCCATCATGGCCTGGAAGGCTCCTTATTAAACATACTAAAAGTTAGATGAGGAAAACAAACCAGAAATAGTAAATTTATGCATTTATGCAGCGATAAATATATATATATGATGCATAGAAAGTAAATAGTTAAGAATTTTGTTCTTGTCATTTTTTTCTATAGAACAACACCATTTCACCCTCACACCTACAGGGTTCTCACAGCTATCCTGTCCAGCCCGGAGTTATAATTTCCCATTTCCCAAAAAAACATGGATAGGTTAAATTTTTAAAGGCGAGCAAGAACATATTCCTTTTTTAAACACAAACTTTTAAATTAATTTCTGAAAGTGAAAATGACTCATAAAAAAAACCCAAAACAACACACACACCTTTTCCTTTTTTTAAAAGGAAGCATCCAGCACTGTACAATCCATAAACTTAGTCAAACTGATTACAACACTCATTGGGACCAGCAGTGGACTCTAACAAAGTTTAAACTACAAGCAGATACAAGTCCATCTAAAAATACAGTTGGGGTAGGAAAAAATTAAAGAAAAACAAACAAACAAACAAACAAACAAACAACTGGACAGCATAGATGAGCTTACCTTTAAAGAAAGACAGGAACAAGTATGCCCAGAGACATAGTCCAGAATAAACAAATCCCAAGTACTTTTCTATGAGCATTGTCAAAATAGGCTGGCTATCTGGCTTCCTGAGCAGAGGGTGAGAGAGGATGAAGTCTTGGAGACAGCCTGCAATGACTGATGGATTTGGCAATTATAGTAATAAGGCATCAAACCAGCTTCCCACCAGGAGAGAGAAGTTCATTTGCTCATGTGCTTCTCTAGTCCCCAGGAGCCAAATCAGCTCAGTGCTGGGTCAGTAAATCCAAACACAAAGGGGCTGGTTACTACTACACTCGGATTCTCAGGCACTCTGAGCCTTTTCTTGGTCAGAAGCAAATGCTAGCAATGCCTGCACACAGCTGTGTGTGTACAGCAAGGAGGGGGAGCATGCTGCCTGGGAGATGCTTTCCACATCCCCACAGATTGTACCTACCTCGAGACAGCACGTCTGCAGCACTTCCAGTGCTTGCACTCGAGTGCCTCTAGAGCTGCTTCCCAGCAAAAGGAGTTTGTGTCCCTCTCTGCTCTCTCTCAGCAGCCAGTGCAACTTGCAGCAAGCAACTGTGGCATGGTTCCCCTGCCATACACCTGCCCTTTCTCCCAGCAGTGGTGGTTGGGACAATTCAATAGTGCAGAAGCCAGGGAAGATGAAACTAGCTAGTCTCTCCTTTTTGATGCGCTTGTTCCTGGAATCACTTCCACCAGAGGCAGGGAACTGCCCTGAGTGCCCTCTTCCCCAGCTGCCCACTGCTGCTGGCTCCCCGCTGTGGAATTTTACACACCCTGGCTCTCCTGGGACAGATCCTCTACCTCCCCTCTCCATTTTATTCACCAGCCAGGCAAAGGCATGGCACGGCAAAGGCTTGAATACTGTTCATTAGATTAATCATCTGGGCCTTTTTTCACTCTTTTACCTGTTCTGCACACTCAGCCACTTTTCTTTCACTGAAAACAGGTGTGGGACTTCACATTTTCCCTTGCTGAACTTCTTCGAGTTCCTGCTTTGGTGCAGGGGTGATGCAGAGAGCAGCACCAACTGGTGATTGTGCAGGAGGGATTTGGGTGCTGTGCTAGCAAGGCTGCATCGGGCAGTGCAGGTTGGTAGGAGACCAGAGCCCTGGGATGTGGGGACAGAGGGTGTGGGGAGGAGGGGGAGAGGCCTCCAGTGATAAGTGACGGGGCACAGGCTGGCCCTGGAGAGCTCTGGAAACATCTGACTGAGGACCAGTTGCAGAGATACATACAGACCTGGAGTTGGGCAGCACTTGCCTTCAGGGGAAACAACAAAATAGTACCTGGTATTTGTAGACGAATCTGTCAACATCAAAATCCCATCCCTTCTAGATAGGGGATGCATTGCCCTCTCCCTTCAGGCTGACCCCAGAGGCTCTAGGGCTCAGCAGACATGGGAAGAAATAGTGGTGGTCGCACCAGGAAAAGGGGGAAAAAGCAGCACAGGTGGAGATAGCAATGTCACTGACATTGTTAGTAGTACTGAGAATTTTTCTGCAGTTTTCATGCTTTAATTTTCTTTTATTAAATGTTAAATAGATAGCGGGGAGTGGGGATGGCAAAGCGGGCAGGACCACAAGGGGCTGGTGTCTGCCCCAGCTGTGGCCTGGCCCTGGCTGGGGCTGGCCCCTGAAGTGCCCTGCCAGTATCATCGATGATGGGCTTCCTGGGGGACTGGGAAGGATCCTTAGACCTGCTGGCCCTCCTCTTTGGGGCTTGCTGGGGCCCTTCAGGTGAGTGTTCACTGCCCCAGCTGCCTGTGGAGGGCCTTGGTACAGCATCCTCTGTGTCCTACTGGGCCACTTCTTGCTCCTTGCACGAGTGGGAATGCAGGAAGAGGAAGGGCTTCCAGAAGCCCCACAAAGGCAGGAGACCCCCCCTTAGGAGGCAGCGGGGCCAGGGGCAGTCACAGGGCTGTCCACCAGCCCCAAGAAGTATGCGTGTCCCCCAGGCCCACCTGATGTCAGGCCTCCCTGGTGCACCGGCACATGATGGTGACAATTAGCTGGTGAAAAAAGCTCCTCATGCACCTGCTCAGGAAGGCCTGTAGCTGCTGGATCACAGCCTCCTTACCCAGGTCAAAGTATCACAGGCTAGATTTGACAATGCTTTTCACTGCTGCTGCTTCCTGGGCATCCTTAAAGAGCTGCCCTAGCTCCTGCTGCAGCCAGGGCAGCAGGGGCTGGAAGAAGGCAAGGTAGACACAGAAGAGGGATGCCCAGATGTAGGCATGGAAGCCCCCCATCTGGAGTCCAGATCAGCAGCCCCACAGCTGCAGGCCAGGGTGCTGCAGGGTGATAGAGGCTGTGGGCAGCTGGGTGCTCCCTTTATCAGGTGGATGACAACTGATGGTGCTGCAGGTAGTGGGATGACAAGCTCCTCAAAGTTGTCGTCCACCTGCACTGAGTGCAAGGTGGACCTCACGCTCCTCTTGCAGAGGGGGCACTCAGGCTTGTTCTCAGCCCACCACAGGATGCAAGTGTAACAGAACTGGTGGAGGCATGGCACCATGTAACTGGCCTCCTCCCAGCTGCCCAGGCATACTGAACAGCAGTTCTCCAGCAGGTTTTCCCTCCCAGCTCACCTCCGCTGCTGTGAGCGTGCCTCCTGGGTACCCCAGCTGCCTGAACCAGCAGGGTGGGGAAAATTCTCCAATGGCTCTGGGGTCAAGCACTGAGAGTTGCACTCCACAACTCCCTGGGCATGACTTCAGCACCAACAACAGTATCGCATGAGACTCCAAACCTCACGTACCCTCTCAGCTGGAGCGCATGCACAAGCCGCCTGGGTGAGACTCAGCACACAGATAAGTAGTGAGGGACGTGTGGTCACCGTCCATCATTCTGGAACATCACAGTCCATTGCTTGAAGTTGTCACAGTCCATCCCTTGGTGACATCAGAACCCACCACTCGGTGACATCACTGCCCATTGTGCAGACACATCACAATGGGCCATGCTTGCCCACTGCAATCCCCCTGGCAGTGCTGCAGCCCCAACATACAGGCCTGAGGTTACCACAACGCTACTGCTCCTTCCATTCCCCCATCATTTGTCTTGTGCTCAGCATTGGTGCTTCATACCACCAAGACATCAGCCATGTCTTCCCAGGGCCCTATCAGGTCATTCTGGATGCAGCAGATGTCTCCAGGAATGTGCAACAATAATTTGATAACACCTCATGCCTTCCTTGGGGGCTGCAGGGCAAAGTCCCACAGGCTCTTCCCACATCCCAGAACTGCTGGCCAGCCCTATGGGCTCCCCTGATTCCTCCCATGGGAGATCAAAGGCAGCACTTGGCTTGCTTTCAGGGATATACTTCTACTTGTAGAGCCATCAAACCAATGCCTCCAGCCCCAAGCTCTGAGTGTCCATTTACCAAAGGTGGTTGCACCCCTCACCTCCCCATGGAGACACCACAGGACACAGTGAGCTCCAGAGGGGTTTTTGTGTTCAGTTACTGCTGCCCCTTGGGCCAGGACTGACATAGTGCTTAGTCCCCAGCTCAGATGTTGCACTGGGAGTCTGCAAGGTAATGGGGTGAACACTGATAATAATAATAATAATAATAATAATAATAATAATAATTATTATTATTATTATTATTATTATTATTATTATTCTGATAGACCTTGGACTGCCCAGTTCTCTGAGTTGGAGGACCATGACTGTGGGGTCAGATGGGACTCATCCCAGAGTACAGAGGAGCAAGTGGATGGCAGGACCCCTCTCAACTGCCTACCAAATGTCTTGGGAGTCTGGCAAGGTCCCTGGTGTTTGGAAGCTAGCCAATGTTACTCCAATTTACAAGAAGAGAATAAGGGAAGACCCAGGAAACTACAGAGTTGTTAGTATAACTTCAGTTCCTGGAAAAATTATGGAGAAGATCACACTGAGTGCTGTTGAAAGACATTTCAATGACAATGCAATCATCAGGCACAGCCAACATGGGTTCACAAAGGGGAAGTCCTGTTTAGTTAATTTGATATCCTTCTACAATAACGTCACCCACCGAGGGGATAAAGAGAGGGCAAAGGACGTAGGTCATTTTTATTTTAGTAAGGCTTTTGCTCCTGTCCCTCACAGCATTCTTCTGGACAAGTTGTCTGCCTGTGAGATGAGCAGAGACATGGTGCGCTGGATGGAGAACTGGCTGAACGGCAGGGCTCAAAGAGCTGTAGTGAATGAGGCTACATCTGGCTGATGACCCGTCACTAGTGGTGCTCTTCAGGGTTCAGTCCTAGGGACAGTCCTGTTCAATATTTTTATCAATGTTTTGGAGGCAGGAGTTGAATGCACCACTAGCAAGTTTGCTGATGATACTAAGCTGGGAAGTGCAGTTGACTCTCTCGAGGGACAAGATGCCTTGCAGAGGGATCTGGATTGGAGCACTGGGCAACGATTAACAGGATGAAATTTAACAAGTTCAAATGCCAGGTTCTGCACCTGGGATAGAGGAACACTGGACACAAGTATAAACTGGGAGAAGAGTGGCTGCAGAGAATCCCTGCAGAAAGGGATCTGGGGGAGCAGGTTGACGGGAGGCTCATGCCAGTCAGAAGAGGTGATTGTCCTGCTGCATTGGTGTGCATTGGTGTGGCCTCACCTTGAATACTGTGTGCAGTTCTGGGCCACACAATTTAAGAGGGATGTTGAGGCACTTAAATGTGTCCAGAGAAAGGCAGCAAAGCCAAAGGGGTGGCATATCCTGTGAGAAGCGGCTAGACACATTTGCCTTGTCTAGTTTGGAGAGAAAGAGTCTGAGGGTCAACCTCATTGCTCTCTAGAGGTTCCTGAGGCGGGGAAATGAGGAGGGGGCTGCTGATCTCTTCTCCCTGGGGTCCAGCCACAGGATGGTTCAAAACTGCACCAGGGGAGGTTCAGACTTTATATGAGGAAACACTTCACTGAGAGAGTGGACAAACACTGGAATGGGCTTCCTAGAGACATGGTCAATGCCCCAAGCCTGTCAGTGTTTAAGAGGCACTTGGATAATGTTGTCAATAACATACTTTAATATTTGGTCAGCCCTGAAGTGGTCAGGCAGTTGAACCAGAACATTGTCAGTCTCTTCCAACTGAACTATTCTATTCTATTC